GAATAAGAGAAGATATTTTAAGTCCAAGCTGGCATCTTGATCTATCTAACCAGTCTCTGCTAATCACAGATTATAAATAAGACTTTCCTCTTAAAAGGAGGAAAACCCCTACTCCTCACCTTGCAGGGATGCGTAGAGCTCAGACACAAACATGCAGCAGGGACCAGTCCAACAGGAGTCCCAAATGACATCCCACTTGCCACCAAAGCAGAACTGCTGCTTCAGCAGGCTTTTTTCCCCCCTTGGGTGCTTTCAGGAGTCTGAGCCACCTTCATTTTCTCTGCCAAGGTGTGATATGCTGGTCACATCAGTGTTTTGATCAGTGTGTGTGAGCGCGCTGAGAAATCCCGAAGGGACGTGCCACGTGCTGACGAGTGCCACGCTTCTTTGTCCCCAGGATGCTGGATGACTTCTCCCACGAGTTAGACAGCACTCAGTCGCGGCTTGATAACGTCATGAAGAAGCTCGCCAAAGTGTCTCACATGACGAGCGGTAGGTCCTGGGAAGTAGGATCCGATCCTGGAAGGGGAGAGCCGAGCCCTCGGATCTTCAGGCTGGGATTCTACATGCTCCCACCCACCGACAGCCATCCCAGACCTGAGCAGAGGGGAGGGAGCAGCTCTCGGTGCTTGAGAGAGGGGGAAGACTTCCAAGCCCTGCAGCTGCTCCTGCCCAGACGCTGCTCTGCAGCCTGTCTCTTGCCTTTGTTTTATTTACAGATGCCTTTCTATTTATGCTGCTGCTGCCAGGGTGGGAAAATCCCCCTCTAGATGGTAGGAGGGGAAGTGCTGCAGCCTCCTGATCTGCTGCAGTTTCCCGGGTTGCCTGCAGAACAAAAGCTTTCAAGATGCTATAAAACACTCGCCACCGTGTGTGGCTTCCCCTGCACCAAGCGCTTGCTTGCGGCAAGCCCCTTCCCAAATCCCACCTCAGGCTGCTGGTGCCTTCTGGCCCTCAGGCCTGTTCTCAGTCAGATATATCTCTCAGCTGACAGAGGAAAGAGGCGATTTCTGTGCCGGGAGGGGAGGCTGAACCTACGAGAAAAGTCCTTATAAGGCTGTGCCTGAAGCCGGTGGGCTGGCGGGGTGCCGTGGGCAGAGCAAACAGGAAGCCCAGCGTGCCTGCCGGGAAGTCCCCCGCCGCCGGCTCGCCTCTCCGAGCGCTGGCGGCGTGCCCGGCGGTCGCCTTCTCTGTTACCCCTCTCCCATGGGTGCTCGGGTAGCTTGTGGAGGCAGCAGCGAGTCGAGAGGAGAGGCGTTCCTGCTCTGCAAGATTAGGCTGGCCGGGGGATTTATGAGGTTGTGGAAATACGGCCCTAGAGAGGCCATTTGGAGAGCTGAGAGTGCACTTTGGGTCACCAATAGCCCAGTGGCAGCACAAACACTGGCAAACCACGTGTATCTCCCCTTTCCTGTGGGAAAAATGCTTCGAGCATTGCAGAGTGCTTCCGAGAGGTGTGAAAGAGCGTTTCTGCTCTCCTTGGCATCACGCGTGCCAGGGCTGACCAGGAGGGCTCTTCCCAGTGTAGCTGCTGTGCCCAAAAGTTGTGGGGTGCCAGTAGCCCTGTTCCTTGCTGCTGCACTGTCATCTCGCAGGGGCTTTCTCTCTGCCATCGCAGACGTGGCCATGGACAGATAGCACCTCTCAGAGGCGATGCAGCAGTGACTTTCTGCAAAGCATGCATGGGGCCAGCAAGATGTAAAGATGTCCAGGGGAAACCTCATTCCTGGCACTCTCCTAAGCAGAGCTCTTCCTGGCAGCTTTCACTGGACCGCTTCTTGTTCCTGTAGCGAACAGGTTACTCCGCGAATGAGCAGCAACACACAGCAGCTCTCTGCTTGTTCCTCCCAATTGCTTTTGAACCGGCTGATCAAATCTCTTTCAACTTGGTTGGGGAGAAGCCTCAGACAGCCCACAGCTGTCCCCAAAAACATGTATCCTGGAGGAGAAACGCTGTCGCCCCATGGGCTGCCGTGGGGCAGGCTGCCAAGGGAGCTGCGGCTTTGGCTTTCTCTGGCTTCTTTAAGCTTAAATTGGGCTCCTAGCAGTTCAGCAAAGAAAAGCTCTCCCCCGATTTTCCTTCCCTCTTAAAGCAGGAAGACTGATGCTTCCTTTTCCTTCCAGATCGACGGCAGTGGTGTGCAATTATCGTCCTCTTCGTCATCTTGCTGGTGGTGCTCATCCTGTTCTTTGTCCTGTGATGGACTGAACTTCCTTGGACGCCCCCTCCCCGCCCCCTCGCCCCCGTAGCACGGGGAAATGAAACTCTCACCGTTTCCGTCCGCCCACAGAGATACCAGGCAAGAAAACCCGCACGCAGCTCTCATCATTCTCCTCTGAGGACCGTGGCTCGGCTCTGCCGGCATCTCACCTGGCCCCGGGGAAAGCGGGTGGAGGACTGGAGCTGCCTTCTCCCCCGGTGTGGCGCGATCTGGACCTGGGCTCCAGGTCTGGACCTAGGCAGCTGGAGGGGGACTTGACCCCTGCGCTTCCACCCCGTGCAGGTAGGAGCCGGTTGCAGCGGTCCTGAGCCGCCTGCGGTCGGATACGGACACAGAGCAGTGAGCCCTGGGGAGGACGGGACGAGGAGGGGGGAGAAAATTAATTAATTCACTGAGCATTACGAACCGCATTGCCAGCCTGCGGGTGCTTGCCAGCCAAAAGCATTACCGGGAGGAGCGGTGGCGTGAAACCCCACGCAGCCACGGCGAGGGAGGGCAGCCCTGGCCGAACTCCCCCTGCCCCGCGCTGCCTTCCTCCCACGGCCGCTGACTTGCCGCCGAGATGCCACGGTGAGTCTGCAGCTGATTATTCACATCCACCACCCCTTGGCAGAAGCTTACGTGCAGGTGAGCCGTAGGGTGTAGTGTCCTGCCAGGGGCTGGCCGGGTGCAATTAGAAACCCCAGAGCTTTAAACTTGGGTTGATGCACGCTGAAAGCTGGCAAATGACCGTTAGCCGGAGAGTGAGTTTCTTAAAGCTTTTAAAATTGCCTCCTTCGTTATACAGGCCTCTAAAGCTCATTGACTGGTGCTTTCTTTGCCCTTGTATAACTGAGTAACTGCTTCTGTTTAACAGCTGCTTCCCTTTGGCAAGTGATTTGTCAGGTCTAAAATAACTTATTTTTTTTAAGGAAAAAAAAAAAAAAACTTTTAAAGATTTTTTTGATGACCGTTTGAGCCACATTCTGTCTGCGGGTGCGTGACAGGCATTATCAGAGGAATGGGGCTCAATTATGTATTTTAAGTGCATATGAACTTGTAAATAGAATGTCTTAATTTTTCCCAGCCGCTATTTTTTAGACACTTCTGTTGTAAGCAACCAAAAGGCAGGAGATTCAAAGCTAGGTCATGTTTCCGTATTACTTCCCAGCCTTTTTGTTACCTTTGAGTTGTTTGTCACTCGAGTTGTCCCAGCAGTGTCGCGTAGCCTAGTCATCTCCCTCGTACGGTGAAATAGGAGTTAGCCAGGTGGTCGATACCAAAACGTGGTGAAGAAAGCTCACCCTGACAGTATTACTGGGGAGAAACGCAGAAGGGGGGTTTTGTGCTGTGAACACCGATTGCAGGATACGCGGTGACTCTTGAGGAAAGCAAAACCGATTTCTTATTAAAGCCTGCTCCGGTATTTAAGTTGCAAACACCAAAAGACTCGGGACCGGCTGGCTTACACCTCCCATCTGGGTCTCAGATGGGGCTGGGGGAGGAAGTTAATTGGTGCTGACGCTAAGACTTCTGCTGAAATTGCAAATCGCCCCCCCCAAAATCATCCGCCCCGAGTGGGAAGCTCATCACCAGACGGCTTTACCTCCGGGATGCTTAGCCCAGACCGAACACTCCTCCCCACTGGGTTTGTGGCTCCCTTCAAGCAGCTGCGTGGTCCCCTCCTTGTCCCCCCTTGTGCTGACAGCCGGCGGCTCTCGTCGTTAACGCACACGTGCCCTTAGCGCCAAGCTGCACTAATTATTTCAGCAGTTGCTCTTTATCCTTGCAGAGAACCTTGGGGTTTTTTTTGGTTACGCTGCAAGAAATAGGTGGTGTCCCCTTTCCGAGGCTGGCTACCGCGGTGTCTGCGTGGCTCCTTGGGCTTAATAACCTCTCCAAGAGCAGGTTCCCGGGAGCGCGAGTCCAACCAGAGAGCAGGACTTGCCGTCGGCTGGTATTTGCACACCTCCGATCCCCACATTATTTTCGGCATGGTCGTGCATCCTCTGGGAGTGACTCCCGGCGCTCCTTCATCAGTCCGGCGTACTGCCGGTGGGTGGCCCAGCTGCTGGCATCACCGCAAGCCACCAAACTGTCTTCGGTCCCTTTTCCTGTGTACATTTGCTTTTTCTGTTGTTGGTGGTCCCCCTCTCTTTAACACTAAATAAATGCATTGCTGCTGCCCAGCGTGGCGCAGCAGAGATTACTGGTCGTCGTCGCAGTCACCCTTGCTCGGGGACAAGGTAGTGGTCTCATGGCACCAGGTGGCAGGAAAATTGCCCACCAGCATCTGCCTGGCATCACCCTCCTGGCTTTTAAGGCATAAGCAGCAGCTGTAGTTTCTGGGGTCCCCGCTGCGCTGCAGGCAGCTGCTGGCCAGATGTAGGGGATGCTGCAGGCAGCTGCTGCCCAGATGTGGGGGCATCACTGTGGAGGGGGCAGCTGTGGCACGGGCAGGAAGGACGGCCTGGCGGGAGGGAGCCACGTCCCCCCCCCGGTGAGGCGCCTGCTGGAGAGACTTCTCCCTGCATAGCCGCTCTGGCGCCATGGCATGAGTTTCCCCTTCCGTGGCTGGAAGAAAAAACCCACAAAACCCCCAAACCAGCAGCAGGAGCGCAGACCCCTCTCTAATTAGTGATGGATACTTGCAGGCGCATCTCCCTGCGCCGCTCACCAGAGCAGGGAAGGGGGGGTTGTTCTGCTCTTCAAGGAGCACTGTGGGCAGCTGAGCCCCCCCCAGCTGCCTGCCCAGGGCTCCCCCCAGTACTGCAACACCATCAGGAGGCGGCTGTTAGAGCGACTGGGCCATGGGAAACTGGGCAGCAGAGACCCTGAGCCCATAGAGACCTCCCTGGTGTCTGGATGGTCTTGTACCCTCCAGGAGGTCCCCCCACTCTGTCCCCATTTCCCCACTCCACAGACCAAATGGGTCCTCAGGTCCCAAAGAGCTCCTCAGCCGACAGCATCCCGAGCTCTGCCTGTCCCAGGGTTGTGTGCTGTGCCACCCCCTGACACCCCACAGCTGGGACATACATTCAGCACCTCAGGCAAGCTGCCCACCACGGTTACAATGCCCCCGGGGTGGGGGTTCAGCCCCCCCATGAAAGCACCCACACGCTCCCCAGCACCCAGACCCATCCACAGCTCCCGCACCCACCAGCTGCCCCACAACCCCAGGGCTGGGGCATGTCTCATCCCTCTGGCCAAGTGTCACCCCCCCAGCTCCTCCATTCCACCCACAAGCCAAGGGCACCATGTTTCATGATTACATATATATATATTTTTTTTTTTCCAGTTTGAAATAATTTAAAAGAAACCCACCAGCCTGCAGGCGCAGGTTTCCAACGGTGGCAGAGAACCCCACATCTGGGGATGCAGGGATGGGACATCCCCGTGCTGGCCACCCCAGCAGGCCAGCCCACCCTGGCTTAATGGCAGGGGGGGGCTGTCCCCACGCTTGGAGCAGCTCCTGGAGACTCTGGACACTGTCTGGAGGGGATGTCCTTGGTCCCGCTTTGCCTGCCGGGGGCTGGGAAACCCGCCTGCCCCCACCGCAGCGGGGAGCCAAGTATTGCACCAGAGCAGGGCAGGTCCTGGC